CTTTTAGCAACCTCTAATTCCTGGGCTCAAGCAATCCTCATGCCTTAGTGTTCCAAGTAGCTGGGACTACTGGCACCCACCACAATACTCAGCTAAGTTTTTTATTTTTATTTTTTTTTGCAGGTTTGGCTGGGGCTGGGTTTGAATCCACCTCCTCCGGCATATGGGGCCAGTGCCCTACTCCTTTGAGCCACAGGAGCCGCCCCTATTTTTATTTTTTTGTAGAGACAGGGTCTTGCTCTCGCTCAGGCTAGTCTTGAAGTCCTGAACCCAAGCTATCTGCCTGTCTTGGCCTCCCACTCCAGATCTTTGGATGATTTTAAGAGATCTGGTCTCCCCCTCTCTATCCTCTCTCACAGGTGATCCGTCAGCTAATGAAGAAAGAATTCACCCTGGAGTTCTCCCGAGATAGAAAGTCCATGTCTGTCTACTGTTCCCCAGCAAAATCTTCTCGGGCTGCTGTGGGCAACAAGATGTTTATCAAGGTCAGAAACAGGAATGTGCCTCAGCCCCCACCCCTTCTTCCTAATCTGGGACCCTTCTCCTACCCTGCCCTGCCTCCTCTCCCTCACCCTGGAAGGCAGGCAGAAGGTTTTTTTTTTTTTTGAGACAGAGCCTCAAGCTGTCCCTCTGGGTAGAGTGCCGTGGCATTACAGCTCACAACAACCTCCAAATCCTGGGCTCAAGCGAGTCTCCTGCCTCCGCCTCCCAAGTAGCTGGGACCACAGGCGCCCACGCCCGGCTATTTTTTGGTTGCAGCCGTCATTGTTGTTTGGCGGGTCTGGGCTGGATTCTAGCCCGCCACCTTAGGTGTATGTGGCTGGCGCCATAGCCGGTTGAGCTATAGGCGCCCGAGCTAGGCAGAAGGTTTTGAATGCTGTCCTATTCTCCCAGGGTGCCCCTGAGGGGGTTATTGACCGCTGCAACTACGTTCGAGTTGGGACTACCCGGGTGCCACTGACAGGGCCAGTGAAGGAGAAGATCATGGCAGTGATCAAGGAGTGGGGTACTGGCCGGGACACTCTGCGCTGCCTGGCCCTGGCCACCCGCGACACCCCCCCAAAGCGAGAGGAGATGATCCTGGATGACTCTGCTAGGTTCATGGAATACGAGGTGAGCAGATGGGGCCAACCATTGTCCTGAAGCTGGCAAAGCACTGGGTTTCCATCATCTGCCTCACACCCTTCACCACCCTTGTTATTTCCTATCTTGTCAGTCAAATTGATGGATTCATAGCACAAGCCATACAATCCACAGGACATTAGAGTTTGAAAGGACTTTGTGAGTCATCTAGTCCATGGTCCATGGTACTACTTTAAGTGTTATCTGTGAGCCAACCTTGGTAGCTTGTGCCTGTAGTTCTAGCTACCCAGGATGTTGAGGCAGGAGGATTGCTTAAGCCCAGGCATTCAAGGTTATAGTGAGCTATGACTTAGCCACTACATTCCAACCTGGGCAACAGAGCAAGACTCAAATCTCTTAAAAAAAAAAAAAATTGTGATCTGTGGACCAGTCTTTGATGGGTAAGGCACTTGGATGAGAACAGGAATCAACATTCAGCACACTGCAGGGCCCAACAGACATGTTTTTTACAGTGAGACTCCTTACTTGTGGTGGACTGGCCCTCTGAACAACACCAAGGTCCACTTCCTTCATTTTATAGAAGGAAGATAGGGGCCTGGCAGGTAATAGGGATTTGCTGAAAGTTGCAGGCCAAATGGTGGCACTGAAAGCAGAAACCACTACTCTGACTTCCAGCTCAAAATGCCTTTCTGTGAAAGATACTATCTGATCTGGACCTGTGGCAGACCTGGCATTGCCAGGACCTGCAAGTACACAGATGAACGACAAACATCTGCTTTTGAGCTTCCAAGATCCCACTGAGTTCTGACACTAGGCCCTGAGGCTTCGCCCAGGACTCAGGCTCTCTCCCACTCCCAATTTTTCATCTCATCCCACCCCACTCATTTTCCAAGTCTCTCCTTGACCTATTGCTATCTGCTCTATCTTCCCAGATGGACCTGACATTTGTTGGTGTGGTAGGCATGTTGGACCCACCACGAAAGGAGGTCACTGGCTCTATCCAGCTCTGCCGGGATGCTGGGATCCGAGTGATCATGATCACTGGGGACAACAAAGGCACAGCCATTGCCATCTGCCGGAGAATTGGCATCTTTGGGGAGAATGAGGAAGTAGCAGACCGTGCCTACACAGGCCGAGAGTTTGACGACCTGCCCCTGGCTGAGCAGCGGGAAGCCTGCCGACGCGCCTGCTGCTTTGCCCGTGTGGAGCCTGCACACAAGTCAAAGATCGTGGAGTATCTGCAGTCCTTCGATGAGATCACAGCTATGGTGAGACGCCCAAGAGGCTATGGGCTTCTTAGTGGGAGTATGGGGTCCAGGGCAGGGAGGGCCTCAGTGGAGATGCATGAGGAGAGGATTCAGGCCCAGAGGAGGGGTCTCATGGAGGGGTGTGCAAAAGGCACCCTGAGCAACATCCCCCAATACTCAGACAGGCGATGGGGTCAATGATGCCCCAGCCCTGAAGAAGGCCGAGATTGGCATTGCCATGGGATCTGGCACTGCTGTGGCCAAGACTGCCTCTGAAATGGTGCTGGCTGATGACAACTTCTCCACCATTGTGGCTGCTGTGGAGGAGGGCCGTGCAATCTACAACAACATGAAGCAGTTCATCCGCTACCTCATCTCCTCCAACGTGGGTGAGGTGGTCTGGTGAGCAACCAGGGCAGGCATCCTGGAGGAGCAGGGGCTGGGTGGAGGGTAGCCACAGGTCTGGGAGGCAAGCAGATGTGTAACCGCCTCCTTTTGGCAGCATCTTCCTGACAGCCGCCTTAGGGCTGCCTGAGGCCCTGATCCCTGTGCAGTTGCTGTGGGTGAACTTGGTGACTGATGGGCTCCCAGCCACAGCCCTGGGCTTCAACCCACCAGACCTAGACATCATGGACCGGCCCCCCAGGAGCCCTAAGGAGCCCCTCATCAGTGGCTGGCTCTTCTTCCGCTACATGGCAATTGGGGGTGAGCAAGATGGGACCCCACAACCCTTCCTAGCCCTCAAGACTGACCCCTTCTCTGGGACATCAGATCCCTGAGTGCAGCTATCTTATAGGTTTCCACTCCTCCACCAGCTATCTGTCCATGGCCACATGAAGCTCCCAGCCCCCAGCCCTGATCCCTGACTCCCTTCTCTCTGCCACAGGCTATGTGGGTGCAGCCACAGTGGGAGCAGCTGCCTGGTGGTTCCTGTATGCAGAGGACGGGCCTCATGTTAACTACAGCCAGCTGGTAGGAGAACAGAGGCAGCAACTGGGAGGGTGGCATGGAGACATCTCTGGGCTCTCAAACTCCCATCCATTCCCCTACAGACTCACTTCATGCAGTGCACAGAAGAGAGCCCTGACTTTGAGGGTGTGGACTGTGAGATCTTTGAGGCCCCTGAGCCCATGACCATGGCCTTGTCTGTGCTGGTGACCATCGAGATGTGCAACGCACTCAACAGGTGGGCCTTCCCATCACTCCTGTTGCCTGCCCCCAAGGCCTCTGTCCTTACTCCTCCAAGCCCCTCACTATCTTTGCCCTGTATCTCCCATCGCTGCCTGCAGCCTGTCTGAGAACCAGTCCCTGCTGCGTATGCCACCCTGGGTGAACATCTGGCTTCTGGGCTCTATCTGCCTCTCCATGTCCCTCCACTTCCTCATTCTCTACGTTGACCCCTTGCCGGTGAGCCTGCCCCCTTCCCATGCCCCAGCCCAGGGAGCCCCAATAGGGACTGTGACCACTACTGCTAGAAGTGTGGACAGGTAGCAAGGGGGGCCCCAGCCTGGACAGTACCATCCTGACTCCCTGTCCACCCACTTCTGGGAGGGCATCTGTCCTTCCTTATACTTCTGCCCCACCCTCAGATGATCTTCAAGCTCCGGGCCCTGGATCTCACCCAGTGGCTCATGGTCCTCAAGATCTCACTTCCTGTCATTGGGCTTGATGAAGTCCTCAAGTTCGTTGCCCGGAACTACCTGGAAGGTAGGAAGTGCCCCTTCCCACACCCGTGGGCCCCACCCCCTACAGCCCCTACTTTCTGCGCTGCGATGGGCGCTGCCCCCCCTTCCTTTCCAGGTGGGTAAGTTCTCCTAGGCCTTGGCAGGATCAGCGTTCACCAGGGAGTAGCCCCCAGCCCTCTCCTACTCCCTCTGTGCCCATGGGGCCACCTCCTCGGCCCCTTCCTGCCCCCCATCCTTGACAATAGTGTCTCTTGTCCTCTCTGGCCATAGGATAACTGTTCCCCCTCCTCCATCTCTTTGAACCGTGTCACAGGTATCACCCCCTTTCTTGCCCTAGCCCCAGCTGCTGTGCCCCAGCTGCTGTGCCCCCGCCGCCTGCCCCCAGCCCTCTCTGCATTCAAGGTCACTTGCGCTTGTGGCTCCAACTGGAGCCACTGCCGCTGCTGCCACTGCCGCGCCTCCAACTGGGTGTGCCACACCCACTCCCAGATCCCCCGCCCAGAGGTGCCCTGGGTACCACTGTCTGCTGTGCTGCGCTGCGATGACGCGACGCGCTGGCTGGGCTGTCTCTGTTGCTGGGGCTGCAGGGGTAGGGAGGGGGGAATGGTGTCTGGGGACAGGTGAGTTAAGGTGGAATGGGGCTGGGTGATTCTTCACATGGCCAGGTGAGTGTGCCAAGAACTCAGCTGGCGGACATCTCTCTCCACCCACCCACACTTGCTTCATCCCTTCCCTTTCTCCTTCCAGATCCAGAAGATGAAAGAAGGAAGTAACCATCCTTTTGTCCCATCTTCCCCACCCTGATAGTGATGCATCTTCAGCCAGAGCTGTGGCACAGATCCCTCCCCTCCCCTGAAGTGTTTCTGTTTATAAACACAATGTCCCCCTACCTTTCCCCTCCTCACTTAGCATCCAACCCTCCCTTTCAACCTTGTAAATCCCCCCTTCCTGACCCCGAGGGGCTTGCAGGGACAAGGCGACCGACTGAGCTGAGCTGCTTATTTATTGAAAATAAATGACAGAAAAGTCTGGCTTTGCCTCTGTGCTTGTCTTGAGGCCTGGTTTGAGCCCCTGTGGACAAGCGTCTTAGTGTCATGCAGACTAGAGAGCAGCTACCTATCCCAGGGCCTGGGGGTAGGGGCACTTCACAGATGGGACAGGAACTCCCAGCCTTCACAAGCCCTACTGTGCTGGGGTAAGGGACATTATGAACTGGCTGGGATGGCCACATATCAGCCAGAAAGCCACAGGGGTGGGCCTGACCCTTTGCTTCTGGGAGGGGTTTAGGACCCTCATCCAGATGTCATCCCTGAGAGCAAAAAGCCCAGCCACCACTTGAGAAGAGGCTCCAGAGAGGCAGGGCAGTGGCAGCCCTGTCACCTCAACCCCTGGCTAGGAGAGGGTGAAGACTCCATCCAAGACTCCCAAATCCCAGACCTCATGGTGCAAGAGTAGAGAAAGGTGTCTTCCCCAGGATGAGGGGGTCTTTGCCCTGGACTCTCAGGTGTCCCTGATGTCCCTGACATCCCTTGGGGGTGCCTCATCCAGAATGCTGCGCACCTGCTCCAGAGTCTCTGCCTGGCGGATCCGTTCTAGGCGCACCTGTGGGTAGGGTGCGGGACACAGCCTCAACTCCACCTGCCAGGCTTCTATGGTGGCCACACCACCGCCTTAACCCACAGTGAAAGAAGGGTCAGTGAAGGAAAGGGTCCTGTGACAGCAACCTGAGCAGACCCATGAGTGGCTGGCCACCATGTGGTTGATACCATGAACGCGCTGCAGGCCTATGTGGGAGGCTGTGCACTAAGGGCTTCACACAACTGGCCAACATGTACACAAGAGAGCTTCAGCTTTTTATGGAGTAGTAGCTTGGAGAGGACCATGTTAGCCTCTGAAGGAGGAAGGGATGCCCCCAACTGGGAGAATGCAAGACCCAGGATTGGCCACTTATAATCAGCCAGCCTGGTGGGGCAGGGACATGTCATACCTGCAGGGCCTGGGACAGTCGTACGAAATCCCTCTGCACCTGTTCACTGGTCTCCAACTCAGCTTGTAGCCGCAGCACCTTGGCCCTCTGCTCTGAAAGGAGGTCTGGGAGCTGGGCCTAGGGGAACAGGACACTGAATCAGGCTGGCTAAACCTTAGGTCAGATTTGGCGGGGGGGGGGGGGTACGGCTAAAGCAACAGGAGGTCCAGACACAGCTGCCCCTTCTTTTTTTTTGCAGTTTTTTTGGCCAGGGCTGGGTTTGAACCAGCCACCTCCAGTATATGGGGCCAGCGCCCTACTTCTTGAGCCACGCCCCTTCTACATCACCCCGTCTCTGACCTCCTCTGTTTGGTGGGAGCCTGGAAGCTTCCCCAGAACTTCCTGACCCTTGGGTGAAGGAAGACACAGAGGGTAGGAGGAGCTGGTGAGGGTCCACCCTGAGTGTAGCCTCACCTTGCTCTGTTCCTGCTGCATCCGCTCCATCTCTGTCCTCAGGCTGCACAAGGAGGCTGGGAAGTCAGACGAGGGCAAGACAGGGCAAAATGTCAGGCCCACACCCCCTCTTCTTCCCAACCTGACCCAGCCCCTGGGTGGGCACCAGTCCTGACTCACCCTCCAGCACCTCTGTGTGGGAAAAAAAGAAGGAAAGGTCATGGCCAGGGCTCACATGGACTCCTCTCCCCTCCCGTGGCCCACACTGGGCCTGGGTCGTCCCCATAGGGAGGCTGAGTGCCCTGTGAATTGGGAAGATCTCCTCTGCCCTCACCTGTCTCCTCACGCTGCACCCTCAGCTGCCCATCCAGGCTGGCCCTGGCTGCCTTCTCCTCCTCTAGCACCTCCCGCAGTGTCACAATCTCAATCCGCAGACGCTCAGCCGCGTGCTCCTGGGCCTGTTGCCGGGCTCGCGCCTCCTGCCGAGTTCGGCGCACCAGCTGCTGTAGCTCCTGGAAGACACTTGAGTCACCCGCTAGGCTGAGCATGGGGCAGGAGAGCAGGATGGTGTGCCCCTCTGGCCAGATGGAGATTGCAGGAAGGAAGGGAAAGGAAGGAAACGGCTAAAATGGGAAAGAGCACACATGCCCACAGTAGGAAAGAGGGATGAACACTCCACAGTACAGCAGTGGAAGAGCACCAGCCACAGCCACAGTGCCAGTGGGTGAAGCTTGGAAAAGGTGCCAAGTCAACGTTCCAGAAGATTCCCTAAGGCAAGATACCCTTTTATAAAGTCTCAACAACTAAAGTGAAGTAGCACTCCATTGTTTATGTAGGAACCCTGCACCAAAAAATAAGAAAGCCAACACAGCCAAAAAATGTGGGCAGTGCCAGCTGTAGTTGTCAGGGTATGGGATATTCTAGGTGATTGTCATACCATAATTTCTTTTTCTTTTTTCCTCTTTTTTTTGAGACAGTGTCTCACTATGTCACCCTCCATAAAGTGCCACGGTGTCATAGCTCATAGCAACATCAAACTCTTTAGCTTAAATAATTCTCTTGCCTCAGCCTCCCAAGTAGCTGGGACTACAAGTACCCACCACAACACCTGGATATTTTTGTTGGTGGTGTAATTGTTACTGTTGTTTTAGCAGGCCCGGGCCAGGTTCGAACCCACCAGCCCTGATGTATGTGGCTGACGCCCTAACCATTAGCTATGGGCACTGAGCCTCCCTTTTTTTTTTTTTTTTTTTTTTTGAGACAGAGCCTCAAGTTGTCCCCTTGGGTAGAGTGCCGTGGCACAACAGTTCACAGCAACCTCCAACTCCTGGGTTCGAGCGAGTCTCCTGCCTCAGCCTCCCAAGTAGCTGGGACCACAGGTGCCCGCCACAATGCCCGGATATTTTTTTGGTTGCCCCCGTCATTGTTGTTTGGTGGGCCTGGGCTGGATTTGAACCTGCCACCTTAGGTGTATGTAGCTGGCGCCTTAGCCACTTGAGCCACAGGCGCCGAGCCAAGCCTCCCGTTTTTTGATCAGAGTCTTGCTCTGTCTTCCTGGGTAGAGTGCTGTGGCATCATCATAGCTCACAGCAACCTCAAACTCCTGGGCTCAAGCAATCCTCCTGCCTCAGCTTCCCCAGTAGATGGGACTATAGACACCACCACACTGGCTAATTTTTTTCTATTTTTAATAGAGACAGAGTCTCTTACTCAGGCTTGTCTCAGGCTTCTTAGTTCAAGCAATCCACTCTTTGGCCTCCTTGAGTGCTAGGATTATAGGTGTAAGCCACTGTACCTGGCCTATAATTTCTATTACATTAGCTTTCTTTCTTTATTTTTTAAATTTTTTTGGCGAGGGCCAGGTTTGAACCCACCACCTCTGGTATCCATGATGGGGCCAGTGCCCTATTCCTTGAGTCACAGGCGCTGCTCTTTTTTTTTTTTTTTTTTTTGAGACAGTCTCAAGCTGTAGCCCTGGGCAGAGTGCCGTAGCATCACAGCTCACAGCAACCTCAAACTCAGGCTCAAGCAATTCTTTCGCTTCAGCATCCCAATTACCTAGGACTACAGGCACCTGCCACAATGCCTGGCTATTTTTTCTTGCAGTTGTCATTATTGTTTTAGCTGGTCAGGCCATGTTCAAACCCACCAGCCTCAGTGTATGTGGCCGGCATCCTACCCCTGAGCTATAGGAGCCACCCACATTAACTTATTAATAAACCCCATTATACTGGTAAGTCAACAGATGCCATGCATAGTTCAATGACAACAGCTTGCTGTGAAACAAAGATAATAATGGATTCAACACTGTGGATTTTTTCCTTTATTTGAGATAGTCTCACTCTGTGCCCTGGGTAGAGTGCTGTAGTGACCTGTGTCACAGCAACCTCAAACTCTTGGGGCCTAGTGATCCCTTTGCCTCAGCCTCCCTGAGTAGCTGAGACTACAGGTGCCTGCCACAATGCCTGGCTAGCTTTTCTATTTTTTTTTTGAGACAGAGCCTCAAGCTGAGCCCCTGCGTAGATAGAGTGCCATGGCTTCACTGCTCACAGCAACCTCCAAGTCCTGGACTCAAGCGAGTCTCCTGCCTCCACCTCCCAAGTAGCCGGGACCAGAGGCGCCCCGCCACAACGCCCGGCTGTTTTTTTGGTTGCAGCCATTATTGTTGTTTGGCAGGTTCGGGCTGGATTCGAACCTGCCACCTTAGGTGTATGTGGCTGGCGCCTTAGCTGCTTGAGCCACAGGCGCCGAGCCAGCTTTTCTATTTTTAGTAGAGATAGGGTCTTGCTCTTGCCCAGGCTGGTCATAAACTTTAACATAGTAAATTTTCTGTCACTTAAAAAAAAATAGCAAAAAAACCCAGATTACTGCTTCTTTTGGGTCAAGCACTTTATTCTCTTCATGCCAATGCTGGGAAACATGTAAGTTCCCATTTTTCTGATGAGGAAACTGCCTTCAAGAAGTCAAATGTGTAGGCCAAGCTAATACCCAGTAGCCTAGATCTGCTCCCAGTACTAGGGTCCCAGCCAATGCCTGTTTGGCCAAGGAGAAGGGGCCTCAGGGGGCCCTAGACTCTCAGAATCCACACCCCACTTACCGGCACCACAGTGGGCAATGACTCCTCCTCACCCTCGTCCTGCTCCAGGCCCTGTGGAGCTGAGGATGGTGGCTGCTCTGCCCGGAGCCCTTGGTTTTCCTCATTCAGCCGCTTTACCTCATGGCGCAGGCACTTGTGGGAGGTGACCAGCTCTGCCTAGGGACAAACAGTACAATGCAGTGAAGGTGACCAAGAGGCCAAGCCCCGAACCCAATTTCCAGGATAACTGCCAGAAAGCCATACCCCATAGCACCTGAGCAAGAAAGGAGCATCCTTCATTGAGCACCTCAACTGCCACACTCCTCAGATACCCTGGTTAACTCAGAGGTCACATACTGGCAGCCAGAGCCCAGGCTGGCTATTTTATTTGGTCCATATTATTTTTAAACCTTAAAGTAGTTGCCAACTTTAAAAGATAGCAGAGGCTCGGCGCCTATAGCTCAACCAGCTAAGGCGCCAGCCACGTACACCTAAGGTGGCGGGTTCGAATCCCCAGCCTGGACCCGCCAAAACAACAATGAC